ATTTTTTTTCTAGTAGAGGATAGTCTACTTTACTCGTCTGTCAATTAATACTAATAATATATTGGATTTTTTGTTAGTTAAAAATAGTAAAGTAAAAAATGTTACAATTGACCCCACTCTCCCCTACTGAAAAATTACTAAAAAACTAAAAAGATTTAGACTGTCACAGTTTCCTCTGAAACAATTAGGGATACATTTTTCTATAAGAGTATATTATAATGGTTGGATATAGTCTAAATTGTGAGTTTTTGAACTGAAGAATTGTAGAATTATTTCAGACAAAATATCATAATCGACTACTTCCTGACTCAGATTTAAATTTTGGCAAAGGATGGTTGATTTATTACCAAATTACATTACTAGTTCTCTATAGTACTACAGGGTGCGTTTTTAAAAAGTGCTTAAAGTTACTTATTTTTTATTTACGTTTTTTGAAAGCCCTTAAGGGTGCTCTTTTTATTCGGAGTTTGTAATAAGTGCTTATTTTTCTATCTTTTTAAAAAGAGATTTTTTCTTTGCCGTATCGATTGTCGTTCTAAATTACAAAAAAGCACGATTTTCACTATTTTCTGTGCATTATTTTTCAGAAACTGGTTATTTTTATCATGATTATGAAATGTTCTTGAATTGTATTGATTTTATGTTTATAAATTAAGAACTTTAAACGATAGAAAAATATATTTTTATTACTGCACAGCTCCTAATTATGAATTGGAAATTGATTAAAAATATTTTTGAGTGCTTAAAAAGTACTTAAAAGGGGCTTATTTTTTGTTGAAAGATTTGACTGCGCGCCCTGTACTACATCTCTATAAATGTCCAAGAAAGAGACTGAATTATATCACGTATGATTCGATCAATGTATATCTCTATATATATAATATATATTTAATATATATGACATATATATTATATATATAACATATATTTAATATATATAACATATATTTAATATATACTATAGATATATATGCTACCGGCAAAGCATAAAATACATCTCCGATTTCAATTCAATTCTATAATTCAAAATGTCATTTAAGCCTGCCATGTTGCAACAAGTAGGTTAATTTCTTATTTCTTACATGAAAATTTTGCTTCCCTTAATAAGAAGGGCATAAATTATGTGTTCTACAACTTACATTTTTCTTTACGCATTTTGAATAAATTATTTTTTTAATGGCACTTTCATTATTTTTTCAGAATAAATTTTTTTTGTTGAGAAATGCACATCATTTACAAAATAACCTCATCAGGACAATTTTTTTCATACTTCGCCTCAATAGTATTTGTCATTCTATAGAATGCCTAGGTATTATATACAAATCCCAGGGAAAGTATGTAATACTTCTCATATTTCATAATTTGCCTAAAAACATCCGCCATTATATACAATGCCGACGTTTCTTACTTTGCCGGTAACATGTATAATATATATTTTTAATATTTTATTTTTGTAATTTTCCTTCTTCTCTTTTCATTAATCGTTATTATTTTCCATGTTTTCTCTATATTTTAGACTTATTTTATGAATTCTATATATATATATATATATACATATATATCAGGTTGAGTAAAAAGTTTTCCGCCAAAGGGAAATACCTCCGTGCCAGCAGCAGCCATTGCCGTGGTGGTTAACTTTTTTTGAAACGGGCTTTTGTATTTTAAAGCAGAAAGTTGGAACTACACAACTGTGTAATTTGTTTGTCAAAACTTTATCATCTTGTGCACCAAAAAATTTTTTAAAATGGAGCTATCACGTTAACAGATCAGACCCATTATGTACTATGAGTTCCGAAATAAACTAAGTGTAACTGAATGCCACAAGAAAATGTGTGAAAGTTTAGGTTTCAATACTGTTTCTTATGAGGATACAGTAAAAGTTTGGTTTCGAAAGTTTAATACTGGGAATTTCAACATTGAAGATGAACCACGTTCTGGCCGCCCTATTGAGGTTGATTGTGACCAGTTAAAGCAAATTATTGTTCAAGACAGAAATTTT